TTAATTAATTGGTTTGAAAAAAATTAACCACCCAAATAAAATTAATTCATTTTATATTTCATGTAATCTGTTTTTATTATTTTTCATTTAACTAGGCATTTAATCATTACAGCTCCCGTCATTATACTGTTTTTGTGTAATAATGTTGAAAGGTCCCAATTTTTTATTAACAGGTTGGTGCATACGTATAACAAATATATATAAGCATTACAGCATATTTTCTTACTGAAATATATCAAACGTATCACCAGAATTTTACTGGTAGAGATACAGATAAAGATGATAGCATTGAAAATTGGGTTTACGGCACTGTTAGTGCAGCATGGTTAGTGTCAGATTGTTATCTGATAGAGTTTGCTCCTAGTACCTGGGAACAAAATGTCTGGGACTTGATAATCAAGTTGATAAAATCGCAAAACGCCGGTAGAGAATAGAGCATACCTGCCCAACATTGATTTGTTCAGATTCTTAACTAAGGGGTGCGTTACTTGAGTCGAGGGCCAAGACTTGAACTTAGGGGTTTGGCATGTCACTGTCGTGTCTGCCCAAATCTAATAAAGCCTCAGTTGCTTAACTTTCGCCAAATTTCCAACATCTACAGGTTATAGGCCACGTTTGTTTAATGCTTGGGGTCTCTTCTCTGTCGGCGATTAATCGGGGACACCTGCGCGGCCTGCCAACGTAACTAGACCCAATTTTGCTAGTGCCACATTTTCCATTGCCGTTAACATCATATTTATGTAGCCAAATGTTCACAAGCACAACGAAGCTCTGTTTTTGCTCCAAATTAAGTAGGATAAGTCCATATGACTGAAATTGTCATTTATTAATGACGAAAACTAATAAGATACAAAGCTACAAAACTGGGGAGATAATAAACATCCCCCAAACTATATAAGTGCTAAATATAAAAATAATAAAGTATGTTAATGAAATGTAACCAGGATTAATTATGAAAAATATGAGAAATCACAACAGCTATAGGAGCAAAAAGTTGGTGCAAATGAAAATAAAAGGCCGAAAGGCTGAGAGCGAGCTACGCAACCCCTACCTTTTTAGGACGGGGACGTAGGTTTCCTCATTGCTCTGACAGCCCAATCATAGAGTTGTCTCTCTTGGCCTACGTACTGCCTCATATGCCCTGCATAGTACATTTACCTAACTATAGTTTTAAAGTAATAATCTCACATGTATGATATATATCAATAAACAAATGATAACCAGATAATCTGAAATGACTAATTAATGTGCCAAATGAGTTATAGCTAACAAGCATAAATACAACCATGTTACATTGAGCCAATGCTCAAATCTGCTTCATTAGTCATGGAAAGAGAAAAAAAAAATTGGGGGGGGGGGTTGAATAAGTTTACCAAACATCACCTCAAAATTTTTACTCCTGAATAATGCACTTCTTAATGTTGTGAATTTTACGAGAAAAGTGAGGGAGAGCATTAACTGTCTCCTGAATAACTGAACTCATATGCCTCTGATTAGCAGGCCTACCAGAGGCAAAGTGGCACTGTCCAAATAGGTGCCCCCCTTAATTATGTCACACAGGTGCCGCTTGAAAGTAAATAAGTCTAAGTGTTAAAAACACCACAAGGATGAAGGCAGGTGGTAGGGGAGGGTGGAGGGTGTACAAATAACAATAAAGAAACGTAAGTAATAATACAGTGTAGCTGCTAAAACTGCGGGTAAATATATCCGCAGCTACAAAGCTGAATGACTTCTCACTGAATGCAGCTCGATGGAATTAATCTCCAAAACATCTTTCATAGAATATACTTGTGTGTGCCTTGATACACAGCAGCTAAGACATTCCTTAACCCTGGACATCTGTTAACACCTTGTCTTGGTCAACTACTTAAGGTCAAAATGTGCAGACACAAGACCCAAACAAAACGTTGATGTATTACCAAAAAGTTAATAGCACCACTAAAACAAACCATTTGCTACATAAATACAATTAATTCCCTTAATTGTAGTTTTGTGAATAGAATGAGGAATAATTACAGTTATGAAAAAAAGGTTTGAAAGTACCTGTCACCTTCGCCACAGTAACCATATGGGCTATGCTGCCACACCTCCACAGGCGACACCTTGCGGAGCAAGCCTGCGTAATCCGGGGTGCAACTGATAATAAACTTATCGCGCGACCCTATTAGCATCCCTGCTTCTCATGTGGACCCTGCAACTCGTAAGACACACTTGCCCCTTTTCATTTCAAACTTTCCTCTAACTTTACGAACTCTGCACCCTAAATTCGCAGGGGCGGTACGATCCTAAAATTCGTGCGTCCGGTTGTGACCGAGGCTTTATACATGTTTTGTTCTATATACACAATTCTACAGTAAATTACAGAAGACCCAAACTGAACAATACGTAACAAAGCAAAGTGATACAGTGCACCAGTATACAAACTAGAGACATTAATGGTTGTGTGTCTTTTAAGATTATATTAAAATATAATATCGTGTATATGCACATTCATACACACATTTTCACATACAACCTCACACACCCGAAGGCGCACGCACACTGTAGTACACACAAAAAGTTATAATACAGGTACTCAGTCATTGAAATACATCTCTGTTCGGCGTTCTGTACATGTGCCAAACAGTTGTGTCTATACATGCATGTGTAATATTATTTACTGATAAAATGACAACAAACTATTATTAGATTAAAGCCCGAGCGCTGAGAATATGGTATGCAAGCTTCAACTTTGTACATGTACATACGTATATCAGGAAGCTAGGTGAGGCGTGGAGGGTATTTCATGAGCGAGCGATGTACCAATTTCACTCTCCATTGGTGCTATTAAATACGTACATCTGCTGGCTTTTTGTTAAAACATAATGTACATAATTTTACCCGATAACAAAAAGGGAGTCAAGAAAGGTCTATAGGCCCGATATTGTAATGCATTTACCAGTATTTGTTGCAGTACAACACGTTAAACATGAAAATAATAATATACTATTACTTGTTGAATTAAGCCAGCTATATATACATGTATATACGATGTATAGGTCACGTGAACAAGTGAAAGAGAAACAAGGCTTGGTTTTTCCAGTTCGTAAAGGTTTCGATTTAGAGATATATCTGAAAGATTTAATTGAGGGACTCACCCTCTGAACACACTCCGGAGGTTCTTGGAGAAGGAATTAAGCGATCAAATTATATATCTTACATGTAGTCCGAATGTAAAGTCGTCAGCCGCGTAGACGGTCAGCATTCGCATATGTTAACATTCTTCTAGAAACATGAATATATTTGGTGTCGGTGCTATAACATAAATGAAGTGACCGTACGTTATAATGGGAAGCGCCACAAATGAAGAACCTACATGTAAAACGTCGAGCAGATCATACGTCTAAAGCTACTCTTACAACCGGTCGTGCGTGCTTCTACGAGCGGTTTGCGTGCAAAAAATTGGCCAAGTAGTAAGATACACGCACGTGGAACGTACTGTTTTTGGTGGACACAAACACGACGCAAAGCAAGCAGCCCGAAAACTGGCCGGCCAGTTTTTCGCTACAACCTGTCTGCGACAATTAGAACGCCTGGAGCACGCTCGTAGCACGCAAGACAAAAGTACTGAGTAAGTGCGCTAGGCGTGCGTGTAACGCAGGAAAAGCATGCAGAAATTCCGGGGTATTTTACCACGAAGACGTACTTACCACGCAAGAGACTCGTACGTTCAACTTGCTTTCAATGTACGTGTTAACAAAAAGGGGGGTGAGCGCATTTCCTCCGTGCGTTTATCTTACTTCCAAAGTGCGTGGCGAGTACTACTACCATACTTGTGAAGTGCGTCACACTAAGACGACGCACGTGCCCTGCACGATAAAAGTGCAGGCGATCCCGAGCAACCACTGCCAGAATTGCGTCACGATCTTCGGCCTCCTCTAGCATTAGCAGCTGTAGAAGTCGATGGCGCATCCTTCTTGGAAGTGCCATTTTGGAAGCTAAAACAGTAAATGATGAAGAGACTCGGTGCTCCCTTTTATTTCATTTTGATTATCCGTGCGTTCCACTTCCGTGCTTATTACGTTTCTCTTACGTTTCTCTTACTTTCTGAAAACGTACGCTTCACTTGCAATACACGTATGATTATCTCACTCACTGTGTGCGACACAAGTACAGATCGTACGTGCTCCTTACTTCTTCCTACTTCCAAAAAAAGGCGTACAGACCACTTGCGGGCCCCACGTTTAGAGCACAACACACCTACTCATAAAGTACTTACTACTTCGTCCGCTGCGATTTAATTTTCATCCTGCGACAACACTACGTCTGACAAAAACTCCGAGGACGCACGATCTCTAAGCACGCACGACGGGTTGTAAGAGAGGCTTAAGGGAAAGCCCAATTTCACGTTAGTTTTGGTTGCTCTGATTTTCCTGATAGTTAAAGGTGAGAGCTAGCTATTATTGCTATCTTTATCGTTATTATTTTAAGACGATGGATAAACTCTAATAGGACTAAGATAAAAATTTTAATTTCACTCTTGTTGTTAAGTGAGACGACATATTATAACCATATACGTGCATTTTTACTTTCAGTTTGGCATAAATTTTCTTACGCCAGGTCTATTTTTAGAAGGCGTAGAAATTTACCTGATAAGGGGAATCCCCTTCCTTGAGTCTCTATAGATGAACAGGTAGTCGTAAACATTCCACAGTCTAAATCAAAAACCCACGTACGTAAGGAACAAGGGATTGAAACTTCAATCTTTAAAACATAAAATGTCTTTATTGAATGCAGGCCTTTTGTCTGATCCGCGCTTGGTCCGTAGACACAAAGGCGTCAAAACTTCAATTCTTATCACAAATGTAACAATTTAAACAACTTTTATAAAACGCTATAGGTAAATCTCTACGCTTTAAGGTGAATCAATATTTAGTACAATGCATGCTGCTGTATGGATTTCTAATGTATAAATAGGGAACCTCGTGGTAGATTCGCTCACATTTTGCGCGTTCAAGACCATGAATGAACCACGCTTAGAACCGGGCGTAAGACGGGGGCATGTGCTTGTTATCCAAGGTATCAAAGGTATCGATATCAAAAACAGAGAGAGAGAGAGAGAGAGAGTCATGGCGAATTTGTTTGGCGAAGTTGGAGGAGGGACTGTCGCACCAAATTAAGGACGAATGCATTCAACGACGGAGTTCAAATTCGGGTGGCAAATATGAATGATGCGTGACATAACCACCCTGAAGACGATTGTATGACAAGCCGCATTAATATAAGACGGGCGGTGCCGGCAAGGAGGGTCTATGCCGCAGACGTTTCAAGAATGCATCGGCAAGGTGGAGGGGACCGTCCGCCCGTGCCATCAATGGCGTCCGTCAGAACCTGCATAAAAAGGGTACGCCGGCAAGCACTGCCACCTATCCCACAGGGGATAAATGATGTGAAGATTGAGAACCAGTGGGGTCAGACCTGGAACCGTGAGGAATTTTTGCTCTACCTGGACAACCAGTGGGGAGTTTGTGTGTTTGCGACGGCAGAAATCTGAACATTTTGCGGCATTGTCAAACAGTGTATATAGATGGAACTTTTCGTGTATGCCCGAGGCCCTATACGCAATTGCTGGTTATTGTTGGCAATTTCCATGGGTATGGGCTGCCACTAGTCCATGCCTTGATAGGCCAAAGGACCGTGGGTCACTATAGACAAGTGCTTCAAGCGGTGTGCAGAAGGACGAGGGAACTTACCCACCACAGATGGAGACCAACATTGGTTGTGACAGACTTTGAAATAGGCTTGCAGAATGCAGTCCAAACGGAAATCCCAACTGCAGACGTACGGGGGTGTTATTTTCATTTTTCCCAGGCTCTCTGGAGGAAGATCCAGGAGATTGGCCTTTCAAATGCGTACATAAACAATGACCGAGTGAAGGCTCTCGTTCGGAAGGTAATGGCGCTTGGCTACCTGCCACTCCCTTTGGTGCGCCTGAATTATAATCTCCTTCTGCAGGAAAGGGGCACTCGGCGCCAAATGAGGAGGACCCCTGCTTTACAAGAATTTTTACAGTGCGTGTCACTCACGTATGTAGATCGAGGAGCTACGTTCAACATTCCTTCGTGGAACGTATTCAAGAGAGGGATGGAGCAGAGGACCAACAACATAGTGGAATGTAAGTTTTTTGCCGTTTTTCTCACTTTTGTATTACCCCCCCCCCCCCCTTGATATTGCCATTAACCTTTAATTAACTTCTATACCACGCCGTAACTGTCCAAAACACTCATGCTAAGTCGAAAATTAAGCTTTAATTTCACCGGTGAAGGGAATCAACCTACTGAAAAAGAGCCCTTTTTATAAATTCTTATCTTATATATCTTTTCTTTTTCGCAGATTTTAACTCCCTATAATAGTTATAAATAATGAAATTTTCGCTATGCCTTGTGGCATATCAAACGGTAGTAAAAAAGTATTTGAAAATTAAAAATTGGGTACTATCTATAACTTCGGTTTATTTTGTTTTACCCACTCTCACGAGGAAAATTATGAAGAGCTATTACATTTCCGAATAACATTTCCTATTTATCAATTTTCAATGAATTATTTCCTTTTTGGCACTTTTTTTAGCAATCCATCGTGCCTTCAGTGGGGCCGTACAGGTGAGGCATCACATGTTCTGGAACTTTCTCAGACATCTGAAAGACCAACAAGCAATCACAGAACAACGGATCACAGCTGCTCGAAATGGTAATGCGCCACCGCCACGCAATAGAAAGTGGAGGGATTTGTAGCGAAGAGTTGTCAACCTGAAGAACCAATACAACAACGGGGCGCGTAACCTTGATGACAATTGGATGGCCGTGGCTCACTCTGCTTGGGACCCTTGATAGAACTGAAGCCCAGATATTTAACTGTATTGCATAGTAATTTACGTTATCTTATATTACATTTGTTAAAAAAACATTTCATGTTTTTCATCAGAGAAAAATTTAACGATACCTCACTAGAGAGTGTTTTTATGGTAAAAACAAATGGACATTTTCACAAGAGTGATTTTATGTGTTACATTGTTTTTCTGTTTGTTATTAGTATATTACATTTGTTACAAAAGACAGAACTTGATGTTTTCCATGAGATTGGAAGTAGACGATATTTAACTGCAAAGGTTTTTTTTTGGTTTGTTTGTTTTTGGTAAAAACAAATGGAAATTTTCTCACGAGTGTATCTACTTTTTGTATAGTACGTTTTGCTTCGTTTTATTGAATTTGTTACCAGGGACAGCGTTTTTGATGTTTTTCATCAGATTACAAGTTAAACTGTTTTAGAATATTTCAACATGTTCAAACTGCCTTCTCACTTGTATTTTACATTTAATAAATAAATAAATAAATAAATAAATAAATAAATAAATAAATAAATAAATAGGCCCTCCGGTTAAGTATTGCGTTGTCCTATTTCTATTTCAGATTATAAACGTTTCAGCACCTTCAGTAATGCTGGGGAAGAGGGGGTAGACTTAAATATGTATTACTATTACTGGGTATTTGAGCATATTACTGTATTCTGATACAATTTTATGTCGAAGTTTAAAGCCCTAGTAAGGGCAAAGTTTGTTCTCGTAAATGCTCGTAATTTGTATTTATATGCCAAGTTTACACTCCCGTTAATTCATCCTCATCCCCAAGAGTAATGCAACACTGTTGTCGGAACGGGTTTTTTTTTTTTTTGGGGGGGGGGGGGGGGGGGGGGCTGTGCGAACAATGGTAGCGAACAATGGTACCGAAAGTCAGGGAAAGATACACGAGCAAATATTGAGCAAACAATTGGTTGCAGCCCCCTCCCCCCGCTTCCGACGGGCCATTGAAAACAACATAGTTTTACATACTTTAAGTAATGTGTAGGTTGGGAGAACTCAAACAAAATGTAAAAGTGCTCTTGGATAGTTCGGATTGATGATTTAGAACAAAAATGGACTGGTAAAATTAAGTCCAGAAAAAATGCAGTTTACCCGGGTGAAATTCGTTTTCTAAGGGAATTCGCGCCTTTTTTTTTAGAGCTTACCGTCCCGTAGTATGGTCCCTTTTGAAAGTAAAACTAATTATTATTCACTTTCCGACAACTGGCCAATCATTGAGCATTCATTCTGCAAACAAAGCGATGGCAGGGGGTGTCGGGGGGGGGGGGGGTCCTGAACCCCCTCCGGTTTCTGAAATAGAAATTTCACCAATATTCCAATCCCCTTTTGAAATTATAATTTTGTCTTGCTAAACCATAGTTCTAAACAGCACCAAATAAAACCGTTCACCTTCGAAAAAAATTCGGGGCCCCGCCTTGAACCCCACGCCAAAGGGGGAGAGCATCGGCTTCACATCCAAAGCATGCCATTCCTAACGGACCCCTCCCCCCGGCAATTGACACAAAAAGGAAGGCAGCCAGTGCAAAGGGGGTTTAATTGAAGTCATGTGAGTACTATTGTCACCAATTACAACAACCCCATGGTGACTGACGTTCTGAAAAAAGTTATCTGTTAGAAAAGTATGCAGTTGTATGTCACGCTGTCAATGTCAATTCCGCTTTCAGTTTCAAATCTTTTTAAAACAGTTTATAAACACTCTATTTTTCTAAGAATATTGTTAGATTATAAAACTGTCATTCTTTGCTAGTGGTGCACTGCAGGGGGGGGGGGGCATAACAAGAATGTAATTTAAATTTAGATGGCCAATCAAATTATAATGACATCGTGTATGTCTCAATAACAAATCAAAGAAGCTGCATGAGCAAGGTGGATGCTGTTATAATAGCAAAAAAAAGAGAAAAAGCAGATAAATCGAAAATACCGTCAAAATGGCGTCCATTTTTGTGGAATTCCGACCCTACCTCTTTTAGGAACAGTTTGTTGTTGCAAAGGAAAATCATTTCACACTTTTACTGAAGATTCGGAAGTTTTAGGTGAGGACGGAGAAAATGTCTATATGGTTAACGAGCGGCACCTCTATTTTAAACTTGGTTGTCAAACAGAATTCTTTTTTCTCAGAATTAAAGGATACAGTAGCGACTTTTAAAAATCACTGTTGGCAAGTTCTTATACTTAAAATCTCCGTATCAGAGTAGAGTGATCAAAGTAGAGTGAAGCCACCGCGCATTAAAGGTCAATTAACGCTTGGACGAACACTTAATTGCGACCACGCTCACCTTCGATCTTTATCTCAGCGAGCTAGGGTTAGGCTCTTTTGTTAGCAGAAAGTTTGTCACGATAATTGCCGGACGGGCAGGGTATGGAACTATTGTTAACAGAAACCAAACAGCGTATGGATGACAATGTTATTTCCATAGTTACCGAGCCAGGCCGTCCGTACAACCCGCAGCGACCCGGANTAGATGGCCAATCAAATTATAATGACATCGTGTATGTCTCAATAACAAATCAAAGAAGCTGCATGAGCAAGGTGGATGCTGTTATAATAGCAAAAAAAAGAGAAAAAGCAGATAAATCGAAAATACCGTCAAAATGGCGTCCATTTTTGTGGAATTCCGACCCTACCTCTTTTAGGAACAGTTTGTTGTTGCAAAGGAAAATCATTTCACACTTTTACTGAAGATTCGGAAGTTTTAGGTGAGGACGGAGAAAATGTCTATATGGTTAACGAGCGGCACCTCTATTTTAAACTTGGTTGTCAAACAGAATTCTTTTTTCTCAGAATTAAAGGATACAGTAGCGACTTTTAAAAATCACTGTTGGCAAGTTCTTATACTTAAAATCTCCGTATCAGAGTAGAGTGATCAAAGTAGAGTGAAGCCACCGCGCATTAAAGGTCAATTAACGCTTGGACGAACACTTAATTGCGACCACGCTCACCTTCGATCTTTATCTCAGCGAGCTAGGGTTAGGCTCTTTTGTTAGCAGAAAGTTTGTCACGATAATTGCCGGACGGGCAGGGTATGGAACTATTGTTAACAGAAACCAAACAGCGTATGGATGACAATGTTATTTCCATAGTTACCGAGCCAGGCCGTCCGTACAACCCGCAGCGACCCGGAGGGTAAGTAAGGGGAGATTCCGGCGGCACTGTAGGTCGTCCTCGTTAAGGAGCTTATTAATTTTCCCTGACTTCATTGAAGTATTTCTTCGATTAGTAAGTGGACAACGTACTATTTGCGATGTATGTGGTTGGCATAATATTGTCCGATTACGACCAAAAAAAAAAAAAAACAAGAAAGAAAAGAAATACAATTAATTATACGGCAATGTCCCTATCCATCTTTCTGTCTCTGTCTCTCTCTCTCCCTCTCTCTCTCTCTCTCTCTCACACACACACACACACACACACACACACACACACACACACACATGCGCAGAAGAAAAGCAGTTACATGTATATAAAGAGGTGAAGGTATGAACAACATTTCCTGTTTTCTATCAGTTGACTCCGGCCATCTGGTTTGGTGGAAATCCGTTACTATGCAAAACTTGGCAAGCCCCGAAAAGCCATTGAGTTACTTCCAGATGCCAAAAGGATCAACAATTCTACGTTCGACATTTGCAGCGGATATGGTGAAAGAAAAGTAAACGTTACGCTGAAGGCAGAAGATGATGGGAAAACTTTAAAATGCCGAATGGAAATTAGATCGGATTTCGTAACATTTAGTAATTATCTCATAATTTTAACACTAACGCTTTATACAATTTCGGGACAGACAGTTATTCTGAAAAATGCAGGGGGTTCTTCTTGTTAGATGTTGATGACATTTTATGGATATATACATTTGTATATAAATTCATACCCTAAAATCCTCGTGCTATTGATAACCTCTCTCTCTCTCTCTCTTTATATATCTATCTGTCTCATATGCCCCATCATTTTTTCTCTCTCTCATGTTAGAAATAAAACTAGATGGTGTCGATGGGTAGCCATCGCATATCCCCGCACTTCCCCATATTATCAAGAGCAGCTCACCCCTAGGGATCACTTACCACACACCCACGTACACACGCACCTACACACACATATACACACAACTCACTGCTTCATCCAAAGGTATTAAAAAAAAAAAAAAAAAAAAAAAATATATATATATATATATATATATATATATATATATATATATATATATATATATATATATATATATATGATGGGCGGGATAACATGATCCCCGACTTTTGTCCCAAAAGTGCGGGGATAATAAATAGAAATAAACAGTTCGCCCACTGCAGTCATATGGGTTATTTCTACCCTCGGGACCGCAGTGACACATGTCGCTTTAATTCAGATCCGATGTAACAATACATGTTTGTTGACGTATGATTTACCTTTCGCTCTTTTCGCCGACAGCGAGGAGACCATACAATTCCCATACATACAATTACGATAAAGTAACTAGAAAGTAAAACGCTATTATCTTCATGTTGTATGACGTCCCTGCACAGGTGAATATCATGTGTATTGATTTACGTTCTCCGCGCGGTTATTTGGTAGGCATTGATTGTCCAGTGATAGCCAAATCTATTCAAACAGCGAACTGATTATCAAACTTCCAGTTTCATTGCCTAGATTAGGAGTGATTTCAGTACTGCGTGATAAAACCACAGCATAAAACCTGCATGACCTAGGCTAAGATGTAATATATCCGTTTATTAGATCTTAGACCTAGGACAGATCCTGTAATATTTACGGGCATCCCTGCACCGCTTGGTTAACCGCTATCAGTTTGTTGGATAATAGAATCAAATGTGATTATTAAATTTTATCTGCCCAATATTTCGCAACCCCATAATATTCTAGCATCGATGCATTGGTTCTATGGTCTAAAGATAATAGTGGCATAGACTTCCCTGTTAAAGATCAACACCTTCCCTTCCCAAAAGGACAGAAAGATACAACGCTCGGCTCACTTGGTGTGAAATATTCGATTTGTACTTTACTTGTGGACATATTTATAAACGGGTGATAGATGGGAATAATGGAAAGGTGCGATAAACAGATACATCTGTGTTCGGCGTTCTGTATGTGTACATGTGCCTAACAGCTGTGTCTATACATGCATGTGTAGGGCCTATATTTACTGATAAAATGACAACAAACTATTATTAGATTAAAGCCCGAGCGCTAAGAATATGGTATGCAAGCTTCAACTTTGTACATGCACATACGTATACTATATCAGGAAGCTAGGTGAGGCGTGGAGGGTATTTCATGAGCGAGCGATGTACCAATTTCACTCTCCATTGGTGCTATTAAATACATGTACGTACATCTGCTGGCTTTTTGTTAAAACATAATTTACATAATTTTACCCCAATAACAAAAAAGGGAGTCAAGAAAGGCCTATAGGCCCGATATTGT